TTTGATTTCCCCATATCGTCGGAGGCAGATCAGTCGAATGGAGAAATCTATAATGGTTGAATTTTCTTTTATAAATGTCGATGTTTGTGAAGTTGGACCACCATCTGCTGCCCTGGAAAGCTGACTGACATCCACCAGAGTACCAATACACTATAAACATTGAATGGCACCTAATGTTAATCGAGTTAACACGATTGAATGCTCACACATCAGCGCTAAATTATTCCGTTTATCAACCTGTCAGTATTTCCGTTTGTCCTTAGCCATTTCAAACAGTTTCTTATTATAACATGTTTCGAAAGTAGCTACTTGAATAATTTAGAGGTGCGGTTAAGTGCCGTAACATTTTGCGCGAATGATCGAGAAACATCGGTGGAAAGCATTGATATTAATAGGGCAGCTTGGCTGTAATACCAAAGTTCTTAGTCAATTTCTATGTTAACAACCCCCATTTAAATACAGTTCTTGATATCTGATACTAATTAAGTGCCTGTTTGCACCAGTAAGCGGGTTAGCCTACTCTATTGTCGTTGCGCTTACATGTGCGCTATGGTTATCCTAAAGGTATTGCTACGGGGATATTTCAACCCCTAGATTAACAAAATAAAGGTCCAACTATGTTTTAACTTGAATCAGGGTTCGTATAAAACTTGAAAGTCTTGAACGTCCTTGAATTTGAAAACAAAAATACAAGGCCTTGAATGTCCTTGAATTTGTAAAGAAGTACTTGAATGTCTTTGAATTCTTCTTGCTTTAGTTTTTGGATATTTTCTGAAATTGTTTGACATTCAAGACGGATATTTTGTTGAACTGATTTTGCATGTTCATATCTGACCTCATTATAAAGTTACGTTTTGAACAATTCAACGTCAGATTTTGCTGATTTCTAACGCCTTCTTCAGTATTTAGTCCTTGAATTTGACTGGCCTTGAATGTCCTTGAAAAGTCCTTGACCAAGTGACCCAACTCTCATCCCGTCTCTCGTTTGATTCGCGCAACAATCCTAACTCTAATCCAGCAATTTTAATTCAGCAGTTTTTACTTCGAAATTGGGAAACTTAACACAAAAAAAAGAAAACGCCTTGTATAAAATTATTCAAAATTTATTGAAAGTCTATCTTAATTTTTGACAACTTCAACAACGCAACAGCATAATTTCGTATAATAAGACAATTATCATAACATAACATACGAATACATCAGGTTGCTCTCATCAAATACTGCCACATTAACTATTAACTAATTAGAATTACCGTAATTATTAGCCCACATAAATACACGAGTAAATAAGTATGTTTGGTATTAATTAAAAAGGCTCTAATTTGCCTAATTAAATAAACATGAACACATATATGGTGTTAATTAATTGATTAGACTAATCGCATGCATTTTAAACTGACTAATTATTATTGTTATGTATTAATTAAGTGGAACATTGTCTATTCCAATTGTCCCGTGTAAGGTCATATTACACCAGGCAAGTTTTGCTGCTACTTTCAACGCAATTTCTGACATAGACTGATGTAATCTAAAACGGAGTCTCAGTGTGAGCATGGCTCACAGTTAACCCTGTGGAATTTTTCATCCCATTTCTTTCATTTTCTCATTTTTCATATCTTCGAAATTGGGTTGCAAGTTGCAGCAAAAATTCCCTCGTGTTATGATATGGCCTTTAGTACATTCTAAACCTAAAATTACTTTTTGCAAAATTTTAATTGAGTTTAATAGCATTAGTTATTTTAATAAGCAAAACATATTGTCTAAATTGACACAACATTCATTCTTTCGCTGCTTTCTTTCCTTCTCTTTTCGATTGTCAGGCCATAATTTGTTGAGAGAGGTCTCTCGAGAAATCCCAATATGCCTTTCCTTCCTTTACTCGCAGCCTATAATTTTCCTGTCTAAAAGGGAGGGGGGAGGCTCTGGCTGGATAAAGCCTGAGGTCCTAAATCCTGTCGGGGACCAACAAGGACTGAGGGGGATACCAAGATACAACATTCTCAAAACTTTTCGTTGGTGTAAAATTCCTGGGCGGCCTGACACTTTCAAAAGTGAGGGATAAGGGGCAGCATTCACACACTCGACATACATTCTTATCCTTACTATTCCCGGGGGTCTGGTTTTCTGTGGGATGGTGAGGGGGTCACACCCACTGACCAGGTGGATGGGGGGGGGGGCAACATGAGAACTTCACAGGGGGCTTCAGTAACTTTTCCATTCTGTTTCTTTCACTCACTTCACATTCCCTTTGGGACACAACATTTCCCGAGGGGTGAGACGATCACTACCCATGAGGGACTAACCATGCATTATCCCATCATGCACAGGCGTGATGGCGTTTTGGGGGACCCATGTTACGAGTAGATTTGTTCCCATGCTTTTAACCATCCTCCATTTTAAACAATTTCAATGACTTTCTTCTGTCGTTCAGCACAATCAGAGCATGCGTTATCTTTCATGTCCTTTCTACAGCTCAGTACTGAATACATTATTCCTTTCTTGCGGTGGCAGAGGTTGAAATCCACAATTAATATCGACACCAGTATCACAGATAGAACAAACGCGACCAGGAATACTTTTGGTGATGCAATATAAAACAATACATCGCTTTCTGACTCTGAAATGAAATGTTAGGTTATAGTTGCTAAGCATTAATCTCAGGAATGATACAGTATAAAAACTAATCTAAACTAACTTTATTTATACTGGATAGTTTTATCAGTTCTAAACCAACAACCTGTTTCCAGTTGATATCCAGTTGCTTCACCCACAGAATTGTCAACAATGTTGTTACATTATTGGTCAGTTGTAACAATGTTGTAACATCATTGGTCAGTTGTAACAATGTTGTTACATCATTGGTCAGTTGTAACAATGTTGTTACATCATTGGTCAGTTGTAATAATGTTGTTACATCATTGATCAGTTGTTACAATGTTGTTACATCATTGGTCAGTTGTAACAATGTTACATCATTGGTCAGTTGTAACAATGTTGTTGCATCATTGGTCAGTTGTAACAATGTTGTTACATCATTGGTCAGTTGTAACAATGTTGTTACATCATTGGTCAGTTCTAACCAATGTTGTTACATCATTAGTCAGTCCTGACAATGTTGTTACATCATTGGTCAGTTGTAACAATGTTGTTACATCATTGGTCAGTTGTAACAATGTTGTAACAATGTTGTTACATCATTGGTCAGTTGTAACAATGCTGTTACATCATTGGTCAGTTGTAACAATGTTGTTACATCATTGGTCAGTTGTAACAATGTTGTTACATCATTAGTCAGTTGTAACAATGTAAAATGTTGTTACATCATTGCTCAGTTACAACAATGCCTGAACAATATTGTGGACAACTTGTTCTCAGTGTGCAGCATGCAATTTTGTTCAAGCATCTCGATATCAACCAGGAACAGGTTGTTCGTTTTTACGCGATATAAACAGAGGAGCGTATTCACATTCTAAAACATGGTGTTTACCTGAATCCCATTAACCACGTCTCTTTAGTCTTAAAGATGACGGATACGTTGTGTTCAGGCTGAGCTTCGCCACTTTTGATTGTTTTTGAGATTGTCGTTGGGTTGGCTTTGTATACGGCCAACAATCCGTGTCGGTTTTGATCGATATATGTTTATGAGCGCCCGATAACAGCCTCGTTTTCATGTCCTTATTCTTTGTGGTAGCAATACAGCCAGGCAAGCATTGATTAAAGAAGATATACCGCTGATTTTGGTAAATCGCGGTCACTCCTCTAGGGCTAGGATTAAGCATATGGCGCGGTTGAGCCTTGCTACAGAATGATGATGGGCTGCAATTTCTCAGATTCTCTGGATTGTTAGGTAGTTTTGCCTTGAATTCAGTTTCGTTCACTAAATAGAACAAGATTTATAGTTCACTTCTCTGCCAGGATAATATATATTATATTTTATTTATTTCACGTTGTAACAATGTTGTGAAGCCGATATCAGGAGGTGTTCGCACTGCTTGTTCCCAGTTGTTGTAATAAGTCTTGAACAAGTTGTTATCATTTTGTTACAAGGTTGATAACGGTAACAAACTAACTGCAATTAGTTGGAACTTAGCCTATCGAAGGGAAGATGGCTGTGAAACTCATTAGAATAACAATATAACTCATTATCTATGTTGGTCAACGTTTATTCATAAATCTGGTCCTTCACCGTCACGTGTGTATTGTATTTTTACCCAACTAACCAATAGCAATGTTTTAGGAAAGTTACCTATCCGTGACTCGAACAATAGGGAAACTGGAATGAATTGCTATTGGTGGATTTGGCAGAAATACAATACACACGTGACGGTGAAGGACCATATTTATGAATACACGTTGACTAACACAGATAATGAGTTATTGTTATTCTAATGAGTTTCACAGCCATCTCCCCTTCGATAGGCCATGGTTGGAATAAATGCTTACCTTCGTTAGAAACAAGATCAGTCTTGTGCAACTTGTTAATCTCAATCGGCTGTGTGACATTACGACATACACACGAAATATGGTCGTACACGACATATTTATAAAATTTTGTTTGATTGTTGATATCTGCTGCTACAATTTCTATTTCGTTCTGTGTAGTTAAATTAGCAATGGGCATTTCAATGGATGTGCTCCGACAAGCTTTGATGCAGCGATGTACTTTGATAAAGTAAGGTTCTCTCGACTCAGGCGTTGTAAAATCTTCGTTGTAAATTGACACGACTTCCTCATACAAATCATCATCTGAGTCTAAAAATTACAATTTAGAAATTTGTTACCGAGGCATTTTGCATTACTCATGATTGACCATTACACAATATTGGAAATACAGATGAAAGTGGTCAGTACATGTCATGTTTATGGCGAGGTTCGATTCCTGCAACATAGAGTCGTCTGTATAATTTTAGCTCGCATGTGAGAAGAATACTTCCAGTTTGAGGGTTTTTATAGATGGTATATAATATATGGAAAATTCGAGGGCAAGATTATATACAATTTTCACACCTAACCAGGGGAGCTGCGGAAAATGCGACTATAATCCCTCTTGTAGGAATCGAACCTGGGGCCCTGCTGTTCTGGTGCAGCGCTCTAACCAAGTGAGCTACAGAGTCCAGTTGACGAGAATTAACCACAAGTTCATGTGTTGTTATCTCTGGGGAGATGGAGCTATCCAGTATGGATAAAGTTAGTTTAGTTTCAGGTTTCCTCCAGTAGTAACAGTGATGTCTGGACCATTACGGGTGGTGTCCAGGCGGAACAGCGTTTTAGAATTGCTATAAAGTTATCCAGTAAAGTTAATTTGTAAAACGGTGTGGTATTATTTATTGTTAACTCTGCACTTCTACCTGGCCTATATTCCTGGCCGTTCATAAAACCTTGCAAAAGTAAAGCCATCACGAAATACTGTCCAGCAATATATTTCAAGTTCACAATGCTGCCAAAATCTAAAAGATGAGAAAGCTCGGTATCAATGAATATGTATTTGTATCCTCTCAACACCTTGTTCGTAAAGTAAATGCATTAATTCAACGTTAAAATGTCACATAATATATAATCGGATATATTTGAAGAACGAGAAAGCGTTTATTATCGGCGTATAAGTGACCAAAGTGTGTTAAAAACGAGGTGCTAGCCGAGTCTTGTTCACATACTTTGAGGTATTTTATTATTTTATACGCCTGTTATAAACGTTTTCTTGTTTACCATGACTCACGAGTTTTGTGCTTCCTGCACAGATTAGAATTCAAAGACGAAGTTAGGGAATTCATTACGGAGTTTTGTATAAACAAAATACATTATCTTCTCATTCTGAATAACTGCCGGTTGACCAGCATCTGCTCACAGTGCATTTTTTAAGGATTCTTCAGTGGTGGGGCAAAACTGCCAAAGGGCCCATTTTCCTTTGCCCTCCCCCCAGGATAGAATGCAATCTCGGAAGGTGTGAGCCGAGTACTGCAGGCACGAGTTAGTTAGGGGTCTGGGCCGGGCCGGGCGATGCCCCAAGGAAATTTTTAAAATTTGAGTCTCTGAAATAGCATTTCCTGCATTCTGAGAAAACATTATTAAAAAAATCTCGGCTTCTCAAAACAAAGTTTTAATGGTGAAATTTGTAATAAGTTGCATGCTAAACATTCAAATAGAACATAAGTTTAAGTATGCTCACCAACAAATTTTGTTTCGAAATTTTCTTTTAGTCAGTGTTAAACTCATTTACTCAGTACAGGTCAATAGGGCTTTGGAGCAATTGGCCATTTTATTTCTTCAGTGGTGGGGCAGAGGAGGGGCCCAGTGGGGCAAATGCCCCATGCACCAGTCAATGGTATTAAAAAATACCTTGTTTGGCTATATGTATCATGTTGAACAGACCCTAATATTTTATATCCAGTGTCGATTGGCTTGCTGGATCATGAGACACCAGCCTGATCAATTGAACACGTTACGGTCCTGTGTAGGTGATATTTTTCAATAATTGTACAGGTCCGGAACCCTTGTCTTATGATTAACGAGTGGGTTCTGTTATCCTTATCAATCGAATGGTTTTCTCCAGAAATGGTCAACTACAATCAAAATTGTACTCGTGCATTCATGTATACTTAATTTGAGATGCATTTCCGAACTGCGATCGGAAATCTCCGAATGGATAGGTTATGCTCAGTGCATGGTTATGCTATTATACCTCATACGCGCCCGCATTACCTACCTGTTGAGGATTCTATAGTACTTCATATAGAAAATATTTTGCTCTTTCTCCATTCATAATATATTTATCGATATTCTTGCGAAGAATTTATGCAAATGTTTTAAAGAGAGTTTATTACTTTGATTATTTTACACTTGCTAATGACTGTAGTTGAGCCCCCTGTGATCTTATTAGTACTTCAAACAGGAAACACGATTACTTATTTCAGGCAACACAATCATGGGAAGTTTTAAAGCGGGGATGGGCCGATGCCGACACAAAATATCGATACCATAGTATCGTATATCACAGTATCGATACTTTCGATTCTTATCGGTAATTTCGATTTGACTGGAGTCTTGAGCCTGCGATATGTTTGGTTCAAACTAGCCAATTCGTGATTACAGCCAATTAAAATTATTGAGAATTTTGTTTGAACCAGGCCGTATATGGTAATAGTTAATAACCCATACAAATTGACAATGGTATGTACTATAAATTTATGAGTAAACATGTCAAATTACATTAAAGAACTTTTGTGTCTTATGATAATTTAACTTCTTACGCAGTGTTGACACCGCCGTTAAGTAATAGTTGTGAGGTCCGATTAACTTATACCATTATAATATAAATTCTGATCTTAAGATTACAAGTAAATTGTTCGATAAGAATGTTGGTGTCTTTACTGTATCAAAGGCGGTCTGTTTTTGTTCATTTTGAAATTGACCTATAGTATAGATATTAGTCTATATATTTTGTTTGCATATATACTACCATGTATATTTTTAGACGTTTTATATATTGAGTTAACTCATGCACACTACAACCATGACACGCATGATGCTTTCAATTTCTGCAGTTCAAATGCTACTTTTTTGTATGTTAACTGAATTAAACGAACTTTATTTGTATTACACAAACTAAACTTGTACTAAACTAAACTTCTACTGGAAGTCTGGTAAGCCGTAAGGTCATCTCGTATTGGTCCAATTAATGTTGCTACGAGAGATACATGCAGGTGTTATGAATGAATTACGAAGACCTGTGGCGTTTGGTACTAGAATTAAACCGAGACCACTCTTCTCTGCACTGATTAAGTCAAAATTCGAGAAAACTTTGGCAATGTAAATATTGACATTACTGTATACCATGGTAAACTTTCCAGGGAAATAAATATTAACTAATATATACAATACCAATCAATCAACATAACTACTTACCCATATCTGGAATTACTTGAATTCGAAAAAGTTCTTCCGAAGCTACTCAGGTGGTCTTCTCTTGAGCCTTATCACTTGCAGATAAAAGTTTGCTTGCTCCCGCTTAATTTTATAAGCCATTGGAAAGCGTAGATTAACCACACTAACCGCAACCAGAATCAACAATGCAGAAAAATATGTTTTCCAAACTACCGCCACAAAAGTTCTTGTTACAGGACAGAATTATCATATCAATGAGCGCGTACTGGACCTCCAGGGAGAATATGGAGCTATCCAGTATATTAAAATAAAGTTAGTTTCGTTGAGGTTTTCTCCTGCAGTAACACTAGATCAATATACGAGATGACCTTATACTGGGGAGAACAGTTTAGAAATGATAGAACTAGTCCAGTATAAATAAAGTTAGTTTAGTTAAGACCAGTTAATATAGGTTTCCTCCTGTAGTAACACTAGATCAATAAGAAATGACTCTTATACTGCACCTCCTAGAACTATCCAGTATACTGAAATATATTTGTTCAAAATTTAGTCTCAATTAATACCAGTACACTAATCTCAGACACAACGATTCGTCATCAACATCTCTTCCCATGAATAGTTAAACGCGGGGGTGTACGCTTTGTCTGTTGCTATAAAGATATTTTTTATGCATGTATGTCACGACTGCACTTAGCCTTACGAGAGTATATGTGCATGCACGCGTCGAAGGCTTAAGTTGCGTTTGGCATGCATAAACATATATACAAGTCAAATAAATAAATAAACATTACAGCATTTTCATGCAATATGCCTCCACCTCATACAAGAAGGTTGAGGGTTATATGCAATAGTTATGCAATAGTTGTTTTTGACATTTAGGCGCGGTCACTATTCAATATTAAAAAACTCATTAATCATTCAGGAGGAAAACACAAAGAAAAATCATAAGCGTGTCGTATCTTTATATGTGATAAAAAATCATGTTAATTTACATAAACTTTAGCTTTGATTTTCTCGGTTTAGACAAAGTGTATTTTAAAAATTACTTCGTCAATGAACTCATATAAGATGAGTCGTTTTTTAAGCCATTTAAAGCACCTGTAGTCGTGTTTTATCAGATATAAAATTTATATCTGATAAAACACTCCTATACGCGTGCTTTAAATAGTACTTAAAAACGTCATCAACTAAATTCTGGAATATTACTAAAATTTAGAAATAAAATGATTTACTTCTGTACAAGGTGTATACTGTGTTACTTAAACCCGGCGTTTCCACAAACCACTTTTTATACGCAGCAACCTGCAATTATATCACCGTGTGGGGAAATTATTTTTATTATATGCAAAGATAGTGATAGTACATGTTTTTGAATGTACTATAGTATAGGCTATATACCTTAATAAAGTCATCTGATGTTGTACAGAACTCATGCACTGCTGAGTCAGGCATTAAAATAGCGTGTCCTTGTACACACTTTGTGTCCTTGTAAAAGGCGAATGTGCCCTTGTAAATTGAAAAGTGTGTACTTGAAAATATATTAAACTGAAAATATATCAATGAAATCCACGCAAAATAGCCAAAGATTTTAAAAATTCTGTTCTCAGAACTCTGGAAATGCCATTTCAGAGACCCCCTTAAAACCTCGCGTTTTCGACGCTAAACTTGTGGCTTCGGCACTCGTTCTCGTGAGTCTGCGCATTTATACCACAAATACGCCTCTGAAGGCAAAGTGTGTCCTTGTAAAAATTCCGTATTTTAATGCCTGTGCTGAGTTAAGCATTGTTAGATTATACAGAGGTATATAGTACATGCATGTTCTTGAATGTGAGCTGCCTTAAAGTGTTCTGATGTTGTACATAACTTACTGCCGAATTTAAAGCATGGTTAGATCATACAGAGGTAGTACATGTTTTTGAATGTGGGCTACCTTAAAGTGATCTGATGTTGTACAGAACTTGTACTGCTGAATTAAGCATGTTCCATGGTCAGATCATGAAGAGGTATATGTAACCTGTAAGATTTGCCCACAGAATATAGGCCGGTTGTTTTCCTGGAACCGGATAGGGGTGTGAAAGGTACAAAGAGCTCATGCATGTAAGTGCATGCATGCGCATTCATGCTTTCATATAACGAAACAAAAGCTTTTCCTAAGTGCATGTACACGCGTCTAGGTTACAAGCTGATGATACATTCTGGGAGAGGCACATTAAGTCCTCGATAGAACAATTTTTACATACTTTTGCCAATATAATAATAAATTCCCCCCATATTTCTTGCAATAACCACGAGATGCGTGGGGAGGAGGCTACATGTACATAACAATACCATGCAGTATTAGTTTTATAATCCAATATAACTTAATTGTATTTTGTCTGTAACTGCAGAATGTTAGGAATTTAAAGAATTGAAGTCCAATTATATTATTGTAAGATATATGTGGTATGGAGAAAAAGAATCTTCGATTTACAACCATTGCAATAACAGTAATGCATGGTAAATATAGGAGTATCAAAATATGAAGGCACGCATGAATAAAGGTCCAGACACACCGGACGCGATTCGACAATGCGACGCGATTTTTTTATTTTCACTGACCGATACCTTTGATCCTAGTTTGAATTTTCCAAATATTTAGAAGCGGTATAACATTTTGAGTTATTTGGTCTACATATGTTTCAAAATTTGCTCTCACTGGCTGTTTTATTAACTTTCAAAAACTTTCAAAAATCGCGTTGTCGAGTCGCGTCCGGTATATGGTAAAATATAGAAGTGTTCAAACAGTCATTATACAATAAATCGTAACAACACGTAAATTTATTACTGTAAAGCTTTGTTCTAATACTTCTACTTTTTCAACTTTTATGAAGCCCAATCGGGTGTTGGGCCATCAATTTCCCGCTTGTAATACAAAATGACTGAAAATTGCAAATTTCGCAAGGCTATAGCCTATTATCCGCATTTTACAACATTTCGCAACGAAACTTTGGAATATTACTAATTTTGTGATGCTCTTTCAAGCTGTGATGAAATTTTTGTCTAGATCAAAATTTAGTCTATAATGCAAATGGTCCATTCGCACTGAAATATTCAGGCATTGACATCATTGAAACCATTATACCATTGGCATTGAAACCATGCCGGCAACATCGTACGGTGTTGAAAATTTTGAATATAGTCGAACCAAAGAAACATAGACTATTATAATTATAGAAGCACAGGATGCTCAGGAAAGTGTTTGATGAACGTGAGTTGCCGGGAATGCACTCCTATATATATATATAGGTAGTTCCTTCATATCTGAGACCAGGGATTGTCGATTTGTTTCCAAAGTAGCCCACATTTAAGAATTAATGTATATACTTAAGCCCCGTTTACACTACGCTCAATTTTTGGTACGGCACGGATAAAATTGGTATACCCGTACCACTTTTTTGGTTCTTGGACTATCTATTTAGCTAAGCCCCGTTTACACTGCGCTCAATTTTTGGTACCCTACCACTATTTGGTTCTTGGACTAAGTGTAAACGGCGTAGTGTAAACGGGGCTTTAATGACGATAGTGACTACACTATATGTGCCTCAATTACTTGATCATATCAAATTATATTGTTTTTATTCTCCGCGTCTCTTGCATCCATCACTTCAAATAGATGCACAAAATGTGATCTAATTTGCTGCAGAAAATAGCGATTAATATAGCACTTATAATATATTATTTGAACATATGTACTGAAATATATCGGTTGTATGTAACTTGTAAAATGTCAGTATAGCCTATATAGGTATATAAGCAACGTCATCTTGATAGTTTTAATGCTTTAGGCCTTTAATGCTTTTTTAGTTTTAATGCCTTTTTAGGACCTAGGCGTATATTAAATACATTGTCATGCAAGAACAGAAACAATATCAGTTCTCAAGTGTTACAATAGGCTACTTTCGATCTGTTGTCGGTTACATTGCGGGAACTTCAACACAGACCACAGAGGCGAAGGTCACGTATATATATGTGGTAAAAGTTGTTCCTCAGCCGCCTTTGTATTCAGAAGGTATCTGAATTCCCTGCACCGGATATAAAGGGGACTATATATATATATATATACCGGGTGGCCCAAAAAAAAGTACTCCTGTTTGATTCGTAATAACATCTAAACAAGTATAGCTTTTAAAGAGAAATAACTTGCATCAAATAGAGGAAGGACTAACTTAGACTTTGATATATTACAGTTCTATTTCACTTAAAAATTCACGGAGATATTAATCTTTAAATTCGGGAGGATATTTCTGGATGTGTCTGAAATATGCAAAAATCGGCGTATCAAATATTAATCAAGATTTGCCCGACTGAAACATGCACTATTACCAGTAAATAAATGACACTTGACAAATTGTTTATTATGAAACAAAGTATTATTATATCTACAAAATACAAGCAAGATTCATTCGTCCGAAATTCGCGTGTGTTCCTAGCACGAATACGTTTCCTTATTTCATGAGACCACTGCATCGCGAAGGATCGTCATTGGATCGTTCGTAGTTCTGAATTACGGCATGCTGTCATGCACAACGGAATTGTGAAGCTCTTCTAACTTCTGCAACGTTCTGAAATCTTGTTAAGAACACCCAAACTCTTTTGCCGTTTCTTAATCTTGGCAAGTTCATGGAGCAAACTGAGAATTATATGAAACACAATCAAACCATACAACTCCATAAGACATAACAATTAAGCAACTCCCCAGAGACATGCAACATTTTTGGAACAAAACGTAACAAAATAGTAGCGTTGATACGGTGATGTGTATTTGCAAAAAGCAATATTATTTCCTTCAATAAAGAATATTCATCCTGCTCTAACCGAGAAATAATCAACTCAGTCTGTTTGAACCCATTAAAAACATAAAAAAATTAGGCTATTAAAAATAAGAAAAATTTAAGCGCCTGCCTTCCATGGTCAGTCTTTCATGTACATTTAAGTTTGCAAAGACCTAATATTAAATACTTGCATAATTTCGAACGTTCATATTTCAGGAAACAATGAGCTAAGACTTACATGTAAGATGTCTAAATCTACGCCATATCCCTTACAAACCCTAACGACAATTCGCCGAAATACAAGTTACCCTGATATGTCATTAAGCAAACAAACGCTGGAGTTAAAATTTGATACGCCGATTTTCGCTAATTTTAGACACATCCCAAAATATGCTCCCGATTTTGAACATTAATATCTCCGTGAATTTTTAAGTAAAATGCAACTGTAATATATCAAAATCTAAGTTAGTCCTTCCTCTATTTAATGTATATATATATATATATATATATATATATATATATATATATATATATATATATATATATATATATATATATATATATATATATATATATAGGCCGTGGAACGAGCGCGCACTCATTATATTTCGATTCAAAGGTAACCTGGGGCGAGCTGGTTTTGGCCGAACAAACTGGTGTAGGCCTACATTGGTTTGAAAGAAAAAAACAATAAGGGATGTCATAAAAATACATTGAACTAAAAATAACTGGAACGATACCTCCAACCGGAAAAGGGAAGCCATGCCCAGGCATGCCCACTGTTGTCATGCCCAGTCTTTTCACGTAACGGAAAAACGCGATTTTTAAATTTTCTAAACTGGGTAAAAAAATGTACTAATTCATCGCTTAAAACGACGTAAAATGCACCCACCAGAGCATTTTTTTACAATAAAAACATCCTCCAGAACTCTAGAGTAAAATATTTTTAATTTATTTGTGTAGAATTCGAATTCGTAATTAAATTTCCTTTTTTGAGAAAAAATGTTGAGCGAGGAGTGGAGCTTGCCGTGGTCTAATCATAAGTATTTGTGTGAAATTCCCTATTTTGCTCATTCGTTTTCCAATTTATTCGTCTGAAAGTTAGGAAAAAAGGTATTCTAACAAGATCAAACTACCAACCACAGTTTAATTATGTTTTGTAGTAGAGTATTTATTAAGTTTTAAAGGTACAAAATAACAAATATAAACATTAAAGACATTAAAAAGTTTTTTCGCGGACAAGTATTTCATGTTGCGATTATTCACATTCGGCAAGAAATACACAGAACAAGTCGTCAACGAAGGCAAACAAAGTGATAGATACAGACTAAATAAACTTGTCTTGTTTAACAATCAATGAAGTTGTTATAAATACATATTTAATACGTTTATAAGATAAAGAATTACTTATCTTTCTCAAGTGTCATCTGCATATAAACGTTCCAGTCATTCAAATATGCACTTGTTGTCTCCAATCGGTTACTTTCGTCCTTGCAATTTTAGTCGGTAGGGTTCAAGATATGTTTTAAATGCACTTTTAATACAAAAATATAGCTTAAAACCCTAAATAAACGACAATTTTCGACCCATTCGCCCAAGAAAAAACATTCAAGTCACTGCCGAAATGGTCTCGCGAGAATGTCTCGCAACACAAACGCGCGTGTCTGGAGGTAGAACACGCGCGGCTGGAGGTAAAATTTGGCTTCATCCGATCACTAGCCAAACCTATTGGAGGTAGCGTTCCAGGTATTTTTAGTTCACTGGTCACAACACACGGACTAGTAGGGCACAATAGGGAATGCAGCTTAATGGGTTAACTCATGGACAGATAGCCTGCATAGTATCCATTGAG